TTGACTCCGCCGGACTCCTTCGAACCTTCAGATAGGCGAACGGATAGCAGAACATCTAGGCACTGCAGTGGGAGCGCTGAGAGCACATTCACTGTGTGTCTGTGGATATTCAGCACAGGAGAGTTATAGAGATCAATAGGATGAGACCTCTCAAGATTTACAGTGGTTTGATTTTTACTCTTACCCTTGTAGCTCATCTTTTCTATCCTCTCCCTCACAGGGCACGAGTAGACAGTGACGCAGGACTGCAGCTAGGTGACGATACAAATCTACAGCCTCCTGTGGCATTAGAAAGAAAATCAAAACAATATTACAATGAAGTGGATAGGTGTGATTTTTATTTTTTGCTGTTGTTGTTTTTAACATCAGCCCCACATATGATATGCGGGAAAAAAGATTGTGGTGTCAAATTAAGAATTCAAATTTGTCCTCTTGTTTTAGTTAAATCCACTTTCTAATTTGTTTTCCCTTATGTCAAGGCCACATTGTGAGAATTAGCAATGGATTTGATAATATGTAGATTTTTGTGCTATTTGTTGGTTTGTTGATAAAATTGTTATTGTTAATAATCCTGTATTTTTGCTGGCCATTGTGTGAATGATCAAGTAAAATATAGAGTTCATGATGGAAGGACCCAGATGTGGTTATTAGGAGGAAAAAAAAACAGCATTAACCTCATCTACTTCCTGTCTGTGCACACTGTAGGTAATGTTGAACAGGGTCTTGAGAATCTCAAGGGCACGCTGAGTCACCTCCTTAGACACAGGGGGTGCTGTGAGGTCAGTCAGCACCTCATGCGTTTCTCCCCAGCACACTTCTAAACACTGTTCCAGAGCAGCAGTCAGCATGGACACGCCACGCTCCTGACAGGAAGAGGACACACAATGAGTCTCTGAAATGCCCACAGATATGAAAGAGGCAGTTTTGTGTTCTCGTAACAATTTGTTTTATGTCGTCTTTGACCACTAGGTGGTCTACAGTGATTCTGCAGGGGGTCCACTAACTGTTGTTTTATTTCAAATGATTTTTTTTTAATAAAATATGCGTTAAACAAAAATATAAGTAAAATTCAGAATTTAAGTTAAAAAGCTAAAGTTCAGCTAAACGTTTCATTGTCCCCCTGTTTAGTAAAATTGTAAAATGGCACTGTACATCCATCATGATCATTTTACCCATAAAATATGCAAATACATTAATGGTATGGTACTATTCACGTTTTGAAATGCAGCACTTAATTTTATAAAAACATTTAATAGGGAGTCCCTGCTCCATCTTTCTGTCCACAAGTGGTCATTGGCCTGGAAAAAAAATGTGTACTCCAATAATCCAATAAACTTTGAAAAAAAAATAATGTTTACAGTGTATGTATCACTAATAATATCATAATAATACCATATTCTACATTTGTATCAATGAGTGTTACCTGGCAGAGTTCTATTCTAAGCTCAGGCCGTAAAGCGGTCAACAGAAAGAGAAGCCGCAGTTCATAAAATTGACCACTTGGAGGTGATGTGGAATGTATGCCATCTTTAAGTCTTTCTGACAGGCCATGGAGCAACCTGGTGAAGAAAACAAAGCACAAGAGAATAAAACAGAGAATGAGTTTTCTATAATAATATTGAAATATTGACAGCATATTTGTCAAATGCTTCACAATTTGAGTCACACCTCAGGATGCAGGCTCTCTCTTGTGCTTTCGGGCTGTTGTAGATGACATTGCACAGGGCCTTCATCGCCTCTTTCCTCCAGACCTCTCCATCGTCATGCTCCTCCTCTTCATCCTTCTCTCCTCTAGCATCTCTCTTTCTTCTTGTCAACAGCCCACAGACCCCATCTTTCCTTTCATTTGTTTCTCTCCCAACATTACAGTTAGATGTCACATTCACAGGGTTGATCTGCACACCTTCACTGACCAAAGACTCTGCACAGGCTGCAAAGACACAGACTGAATCATCTCCCTCCCTGTAACATGTTGAGTGTTGTGCATCGCTGCCATTATTATCCAGATGTGTCAATGTCTCATTCTCAGGAGTGATGTCACTGTGGGAGGAGCCCCACTCAGCCTCCTCTTCTTCAGGCCAGGTAGGCAGGGCGGAGATGCCCCCAAGTCGAGCAAGAGTTAGGATGGCATAGTCTGTGATCAGAGGAGCCAAGGCCTTTCGATCACGTGAGATAATTCTCAGAGTGCGCAGACACACTCTCAAAACGCCTGGCTGCAGCCGCATACGAATGAACCAGATCAGAGCTGCAGCAAGCCTCTGGAAGAGACAGAAAGGAAAACGATGGAAAAGTTTGAATTATTTTGCATTGTATTTGATGTGAATATATAATGAAATACAACATAACCAAACGTATGTGGACAACCCTTCTAATTTCAGTTACAATTTGAATGTAAGGAACTGAAATTCTGGATGGATGGATGGATGGATGGATGGATGGATGGATGGATGGATAGATAGATATAGATAGATTAACTATTGTGGGCCAGGTTGGAACAATAGATAGGAAGGAAGGAAGAAAGGAAGAAATTTTTCAAATATATGGATGTGGTGCTGGGTTGTGCTTTTGGCCATATTTTATGAAAGAAGTTGTGAAAAAAAACGTTTGGGAAACAAGTTTGACTCACCCTCCGCAGAACAAGTTCTTGATCCTCATTCTCATCAGAGTCAAAATCTGAGTCAGAGTCTGGAACATACTCTCTCACTTTATTCCTGCGAAACTGAGTGGAGAAGAACAAACATTTACAAGAGACAAGAGAAAGTGAGGTAAACAAGCAGAAAAAAAGCTTTTAGCAATAACGAACAGTGACATGGAAAATAATAAAGTCAGTGTCTGCCCTTCAAACTCAAGATTCAGATTTAAACAGTGGCCTGCTTCTTTACATACAGAACACTGAAATTCACTGAAGACTAATAAAGGCTTTGGGTACAATCCCTGAACACAGAGCAGATATTATAAAGGCTTTAATTTATAAAAACTTTATTTTGTGAGCACAGGCATCATGAACAGAGTAACCGTCTAAATGGCTTTTTGTGAATTTATGAGAACCAGTCAATTATCTTTTTGACACACGGCACAATAATTGGTGCTTAGTAACAACAAAATAAATAATTACAGGCACATCTGACACAGACACTCTGGGTGTCGGTATGTACAGTACAGGTGCCCCAGGGTGAGACAGACGGCGAGTATATTAGTTTCAGATTACCCACCTCTCTCGTTTTTCTTTCCCACAGACGTCTCACTCCCTTTTTATTATCTACAGCAAACCTGCTCTTTTTCTGTAGGTCATGTGAAAGATTTACCTCTTCGAGCTCTCTTTGCTGTTCTCAGTTCACACATGTAGGAGAGTGATGAGTATATAGCAAAAGGAGAAAAAAAAGCATGATTAAAAACATGCTTGTGACTATTATATACACTGAATGAATGAGATGAGAGTGAAGTGAGGGATAAAGATAAGTGAAGGTGGATGAGTGAGATTTACATTATTAGCTGTGTTAATCCAAGCCACGTGTGCCCTCGGATTGAGGGCAGACAGATAAACACACAAACTTTAGCATAGACTTTAGAATGTACCTTTTTTCTCTCTTTTTCTTCCACATCAAAAAAGAAACATTGTGAGTACTGTGAATAACAAAGGGAGAATTTAAAAGGTGAAATATAAGAGAGACAGCAGAATTTGAAGGCTCTTCAAATGCTAGACACATTAAAACTTCACCACACTGCAGAAATTGTAAAATGACTGGATAAGTAATGAGAAACACCCTTCAGGTTTACCCCAGTTCTGTTGTCATGGAAACTGTTAATATCTGTGTGTTGTAGAAGTAGTAGAAGATTCTAACACAGTTTTTTTCTGCCTGGCACAGTGATGCCCAGTATTAATCTGATTATATTTAATTAAAATTAAGTATTTTGCTTGAAATCGTATTTACCTCAGTGTTGTAATCATCCAGATGTATTTGAACATTGTCCTGGTCGCCTTGTTTAATAAACTGAATAATCTTCTCCACGTCCACAGGCATTCTTAATAATTAATAATCAACCAAAATATAAAATGTGTTCATTTTCATACAGAGTATTTCTGAAAAAATACTGATTTAACCTTATATAATATTAGAGACACATTCATAGACTTGCACTTACCCTCTGTGGTTATAAAAGTACAGATTTCAAAAATGTGTGATGAGTTTCCTTCCAAACGACACGCTTTTAGTGTGTCTATGTGTCTGTCTTCATATGTTCCTCTTTGTAATCTGACAGGCCTCAGATTTAGCTTTGAGTATCGTTCTGAAAAGCGAGGTGTGCTCTGATTGGCCGGCTATCCAGTCATCCTCTTTTGGAAGGCCAAACAAAGTAGTTTCGCTTTCACAATGAAACACACAGCGCCTTCACGACATGGCGGCGGCGGCAACAATACTACAGCGAGAATAAAAGTTACGCCTTCTTTCTTTGCGTGAACATTTGGGCGGCGTTATGCAAATCTTCACACATTGTGAGGTAGATATGGGGGGGCGGGTTAGAACGAGCCGTTTTAGGTAGACGTGGTTGACTCTTAACTTTTATAAAGAGTATATTTGGATTTGGGACTTTAGTCTTTACAACTATACAGATCTTCTTTATGCACCAAGAGTTTGTAACACTCCAAAGAGAAAGGAAAAATGTAAATCGCATCATATGACCCCTTTAATAATGTAAAAATAATTCTACTCACTGCGAGTTATCCTCAGAACAGGAGTGCTAATTAGTGAGAAAGCCAATAGGGACAGACAATAGGAACCAAAAAAACAAACAAAAAAATAACTTGAGCCGCTATGCTGGGATTCAGACAACAGTGAGAAAAAGACAGAAGGCTGGAGAGAGAAAGAGAGAGATGAAAGCAGCACAGGTTTATATCAAGCTTAATAGGGGTAATTAAACAAAGTGGGGGCCAGGAAGAGAAAGGCTGGGATGACTGGGGTGAGCTGATAGGGGTAATTATTTGTACTGATTGAAGGTGATTAATTGAGGCTAGTTACTCAGCTCACTGATGGACCCTCATAAAACGCAGAGTCCACTAGAAGAGAGAGACATGACAGACAGAGAGAGAGAATAACCACAGTAGTGGGCTGGAATGACACTTTCACTCTTGACAGGACACAATCAACCTGACCAGACAGGAAAGAGTTGCTATTTTTTTGTTTCATGATCTGTAAAGTTTCCTCGTAAGGAGAATGCACGGATCTGGATTGCTCCTGTTGTCGCTGTGTGCCGGCTCTCTGGTGACCCATAGTGGTGCGTTCGGGAATCGAAGGCTGTGCGGGACTCAGCTCGTGGAAGCGCTGCTGCTTGTCTGTGGTGACAAGGGTCTCTTCTACCAGCCTGGCAGGCGTATCAGAGAGCACAGTTTCCGTGAGTCCTGTTACACATGTATTTCTGTGCGATAGATTCAGTCAACATTACAATAAGTCCTAGCCTACTATCCATATTTTTTGTAGAAATTATTTTGCGTAACAAGCATTAAGATAACCCAATCGATGCTAATTAAAGTTATTGGTTAAAAAAAGACAAATTCAATATCACAGTGTGTGTGTGTGTGTGTGTGTGTGTGTGTGTGTGTGTGTGTGTGTGTGTGTGTGTGTGTGTCTGGTAGAGTTTAAGAGGCTATAATTTAAGAGAGAATAAAAATAAACTATAAAAGCGAACTAAAAACTGATTTTGTTCAGTAATGTATTTGTTACCATATTTACATTTATACCATATTTATTTATTGCATTTTTTTTCTATAAAACAGTGCAAGTAAACATATTAAAGGGATAGCTAAAAACTGTCATTAAAAATTATGTCATCATACTGTTGTACCAAACCAATATGACTTTCTTTATTCTTTTGAACGCAAAAGAAAATTATATAGAAAAATGTTGGCATCTAGACAATTTTGGTGCCCACCTGCACAATTACTTCTATTGTTTAGAGGGAAAAAAAATAATTACACATTTCTCAAAATATCTTATTTTATGTTCAATAGAAGATAGAAAGTCATACAGGCTTGGAATGACAAGAGGGTGAGTAAATTATGACATAATGTTCATTTGTGGGTGAACTATCCCTTTTAAGTCTGAAATTTAATAGGATAAATTTAAGATATATTATCAAGCCATTAGACTAATCTAATATAAAAAAGATATTTTAACATCAAAAGGGCAGACTTTCAGGTGTAACATTTTTGTGGCAGTATCCAATTAAGTACCTGTAGCCAACCATCCCTGGTCTCCCCATCTCTTGAAGAGTGTAACAGAGTAGCCTATTAGACGTTAATTAAGGTCTTTCTGTTTGTATGCGTTGTGTAGAAAATGGAAAACTATTTGATTAATTAAATTAATGTAATAGTAGTATGCATGCTACGCCTGTATAGACTACTTTTGAATCCCTTGTAACACTGTTCGTCTTTCAACAGGTGTAAAGATGAGGAACAGCGCCCCCTTCCTGCGGCAGACTGGAGTGGCTGCTCAGAGTGCAGAGATAGGCACTGCCAGAAGCATTGTTGCAAAGAGAGGCATTGTAGAGCAGTGCTGTCATTTCTACTGTGACTATTATGACCTGGAGAATTACTGTAACACATAGAGAATCTGCTGCATACACTTCGCCTGATAATGACTTGATATGATAATGAGGTTTGGGATATGGTAGGCCTATTGGATGATACCATTGATCTAATTATGTAGCTACAGCTGTGAATGAAGGATCACTTTAAATATTACGCATTGGGCATGTTTATGATTAAAATGTTTGTATATATATATATATATATATATATATATATATATATAACGGACTGTTATTGTGTGTGTTGCACAAAACAAAGGCTAGGATGTTAAAATTTTTATTGTAGGCCTTTATAATTATTATTATATTCCTGTAACTCAAACAGTAAAAGCATGTCACTAGCAACACCAAGGAGATGGGTTTGACTCCCAGGGAATGCTTGAACTGACAAAAGTGCATAGCTACATTCAATACAACATAATTCATAAAAAATAAAACAGTATAAAAATAGGCCTACAATACAAAAAAAAAAACAATGTTTTCAATAGTTTTTATGTAAACCTTTTTACATTTCCAAACATTAAAAATTAACCATCATGAATGTGCCAAAAGAAAAAACGAGTTATTATTCAGTTGCATTTAAAAACCAATTTTAAAATCAAATAGTATAGTCATACTATATTATTAAACTATATTGTATTTACTATTTCAAAATCACTTGAGTGCAGGCTCAAACAACCACCATAGCATATATTTTAGACCATCAAGGATCGACTACATGACATAAATGTTAATGTACTGTGAGCATGTAACCCTGAATTACTTGGTAGATTTTCTACTTTCTAATATTTCTCTTTAATTACAAAGACATTTCCATTCGCCTCTGATTTGCATCGTCGCCACACAAGCAGTCTTTGATGAAAAACATCATTTCCCATAAGCCCATGCCGGCAGTTTCACAGAAGGGGAAGCAAAATGGCGGAATCGGATGGGATGGGCCTCTTTTTGTGTTCCTTAAAGAAAAATGTTTCGTGCCTCTGCATGCCGTTTTAAAGTTAACAAAAAACATTGTGGCGGGTTTTAGCAGGTCATCAGCTTTGGTATTCATCAGCCGGCTCATCTCTGCACTATGAAGGTAAACGGCTCTTATAGCTTGTCTAACTTAGCTAGCCAGCTATCCCCTGTGGACGACAAATTGTAGGTTATAAATTATTGCTGCTAGTGCGAGAAGGTTGCTTAAAATGAAGCACAGATAAAAAAAAAAAGTCAGCTAGTAATACTCGGTGCATTCAGAATGAGACGTATAGTAAGTATTGCTGGTTATTTTATGACAGTTAACAAGTGAGTACATAGGTAGGCAAACACTGCAGTGGAGCACACCGATTAGATAGCATCGTCTGTAGCATCATCTTACATCAGTTTCATTCACTGCACACGATCAGTGCTGTCACTGGGCCAAGAAGCGAAGACACAGTGTTGAATGTCAATACAGATCAAGCTTTCTCCTCAGTTTACTCGAGTAAGCAAGTTTCCCTGGGTGCTCTTCAAGTTAAAGGTAGAGATTTAATGCAGAAGTAGTTTCCTCTAATCTCTCAGGTATGATTATCATAACGGGTTAAGCTTTATGATGGCCCAGAGCTGATGTTTCAGATCTAGGCTATTTATAACAATAGTGTTGTCTGCTATGTGTAGATGGGAACAGATGGACAGGCTGAAAAAGACGAAGGAGAAATTGTGCCAGGCAAGGTAAGTGTCATATCATCTTGTTAGTGCAGGAGCAGGTTGGACAGTCACTGTGATCATATTATGTATTATAGACCATAAGATTAAGATTCAGCATGCACAGCACTCTCTGCTGAATACGCGTAATGTCTTCTGTCTTGTCTTCTTGTAGTCACAATCTGAACAATGTCCTGATGAAGAGGAGGAAGTGGAGTCTAAAGCAGACAGAAGGACAGTTGGCTTAAGATGTTTCCAAGGAAACAGAGAGACCTCGGAGGATGAGCCTAGTGAACTGGTAAAATTATTTAGTTTATTTATTTAGTTCAGTCCTGTTACATGCTTTGTCTGGCTTTATTTCCCCAGTTTGAAATCAGTGACCCTTGAACCAATTAATTTATGTTACACTCTTGTAGGGGGCTGCTGTTGTTACTTCCTCTGAGCCTGTATATCTTGTGCCTCAGCTCAGCTCACAACCTCAGTACCTGGACTGGTAAGTGCTTACTTCAGCACATTAAGTTAAAAATTGAGCTTAATAGCACCAGCATTTGACTTGGTTTGCTTTTTATTTACTTTGAGGGATGTGAGTCTTGTGTCTCATTGATATGCTTGTTGAAAGCTATAAAGGAATGTTTAATCATCTTTGAAAGGTGCTGGCCTATAAAGGCAAAGCATAGTACACATTTGATCAAAATTTTGTTATGACCAGAACTGGGTCCATTAGACTATGATCTGTCCTGTGACAAACCGGTTTAGATTCAGAGCTTCAGGGATATGATTGAGTGTGGAAGATTACATCAGATCAAACAAAATTCAGTCAAAAAAGCTTTGCCATTTTATCTGTTTCATTGTTGGTGTATTTCATTGCGTATTTCACTGGTGCATATTCTCTTTGTATGGGAGAGTAATCAGATGTTGTTGTTTTTTTGTATTGAAATGTAATTTTTTCTGAATTTGTTGTAATTTTAATATTTATAAACATGTATTTTGCTTTGGCACTTTAACATTAATTACTTAAAAAAAAAAGTTAATACAATTTGCATCATTTTTATTTTTTTGTCTCAGGGACAGTGAAAATGTCAACAGTGCAAATAACATTTTGAAATACTGGCTTAACGGGGTCAAACAGAAAATAACTTTATTGTTGAGGCCTTTTTTGTGTTAAAAAACTATAAACTTTCTTATATTTTTTTCTTCTCCTTTAGTGACTTTGATGTGGAGCTAACAGCAGAAGTGAAAGTCGAGAATGGCGCATCTCTTGCTTTGTTGACATTTGTTACCCCAAATCTTGGTTACCAGAAGCCAGGTAGGTTCAAGTCCATAGCTTGCCTAAGATAATGTAAATAGCACTGTGTGATCAAACTAATTCCTTTATTTTCGTTGTCTTTCTTAGGATCCTTCTTAAATGGAAATTTTCTCTTCCCACCATGTTTAAAGAAAAAGAGAGTTTCTATAGACAGTTTTTTGCCTTCAGGCTCTTTTCCTGGATTTTATTCAAGTGTAACTCACGCCTCAGGACTGGCCTGTTCCCTCAAAAACTCTGATAGGGTCATAGAGATTGCCAAAAGCCCTCTCTCTTCATCACCCTCCAACTCACCATCATCTCCTTCATCTGCTCCCTCTTCCCCCTCCTCCTCCCCCTCATCTTCATCTCCTGGTGGAATGGGTACAAACTACCGTGAGGATGAGGACAGAGGCAATGCTGGAGACAGCAGGGTCAGCAAAGGAACTGGAGACTTTGTGTCATCCACTTCGTCCTCTTTGGTGCCATCGTCAATGCCTGTGCCACCTTCTTCTTCCTCTAATCCCTCACTTCATGCATCTTCATCATTCACATATCCATGCAATGATGGACAGACGGAGAGTTTAGAAAATGACATATATGACCCCTTTCACCCAACAGAGGGTGAGGGGGAGAGAGACCGAGTGTCCACTGAGGATGAGGAGGAAGAGGTTGATAAGTATGATCCATTTGAACCGACAGGTTCTCCAGCCTCTGAAACAGAGGAGGAAAAAAGATGTGTGGATGAGGAGAATGAAGGAGGAAGCAGCATTAATAGTGAAGGGAATGTTGCAAAAGCTGATAGAGTGTTGGAAAAGGGGACACCTGCTGGCACAGAGGGGGGTCATCCAGATTCAACAGAAATTGACGCTCCATCTTCAATGTTCAATAATAGACCTTTAGATCTCAACAGCAATCGATCCATCAAAGACAGAATAAGGGAACAGGGAAAAAATCAAAGAGAACGGGGAACAGACTCTGAACACTCTGAGATAGAAGAAGGAGAGATAGTGGGAGCCAATGAAAGAGGAAGAGAACAAGTGATTGAGAGAAGGAGGGAGGTGTTGCTTCCATCTTCAAGCAGTCCCTCTTACCTTCAAACGGGTGTCCCAAAACCTGAGAGGATCTTACGGGTTTTAGAGGGTGATGGGTTTGTATCTGTCTGTGCTGATGAGGAGGAAGAATGGGAGAGGGAGCCAGTGGCTTCTGTGGGCGTCGGAGATCTGAGACGAAAACTGACAAGTAGGAGGAAAGAGAGGTTCAGATCATGCCCTTCTTCTGCATCCATATCACCACCACCTGTCCCTGTTTTGCCTTTGCCTTCTCCTTCCTTTTCCAATTCTCCACCTCTGTCCACTGATAAAGGGAGGAGTCGCAAATCCTCCAAGAGTTCAAAGGACAGGGATAGACGCAAGCGGAAAGAGGGAAGAGTAGAGAAGGAAAAGAGGAAAAAAAGGAAAGAAGAAAAGGAGTCAGGTGACGGTAAAAGAGAAAGCAAAGAGAGGGACAGTGAAAAAAGGAGTGTAAAAGAGAACAAAGACAAGGATAGGGATAGAGGAAGAAGTAGCCGAAGTGATAGCCACAAGAGGAAAAAGAGACGCAGGAGCACTCCAGAACATTCCTCCCGCTCCCACTCCCAGAACGCCTCACGACACACACACAGTTGCAGATCCTGGTCCAGCCACTCTGAGGATCGCCACAAAGATAGAGACAGAGATAAAGAGCGGGAAAGAGAGCCAGAAAGGAACCATGAAAGAGAAAGGGACCGGTGGCGAGATGACAGGGATAGAGAGCGAGACAGAGACTCCAGAAGAAGAGATGAACGAAGGAGAGATGGGGATGATGATATCAGGAGGTCAAGCAGCCGAGAGAGAGGCAGTACAAAGAGGAGCAGAGGAAGCAGTGACAGGAGAGACGGAGAGAAAGAGATGGTTAGAGAAAGAGATCGAGACAGGGACGGGAGAAGAGATATCAGACCTGTTGTACCCCCGTCCATTCAGGATCTCAATGGCTCTGATCTTTTTGCGATCAAACGTACCATCACCATTACCACCACTACAACAACCACCACAGTACCAGGTTCACCACCCCATAGCCAACGGCACTCC